TCTAGACCTGGAAGGAATCCAAATCAAAAAATCATCTGAATCAATAGGAATGGCAACCTTTTCAATCATACCCCAGCAATCCGGATAAACAAGCTTAAAAAATGTTGGAATGTTCCGCGTTCTATCCAGCACAAAATCACTAACCGAAGCCTTAAAAAAGGCATTAAGATGAGTAGGAATCCCTATAGCATCAGCTAATACAACACCACACCAATTATGACACCAAAAAGAAAGCTTAGAGTAACTACCAATAAACGAACGAGAATCAAGAATAAGAGAACCAACCAAACCTCTCAGACCTGGCTAATTGGAAGACATGCAATAAGACAATTTTAGCTCCAATCTATTCTTAAAATGTCTGCATCTGAAAAAGGCGTAACCATCACCCGCTTCATGAATTATGTTCCAAACAAGCTTCTTAATTTTCATACTCTTAATTTTGTTGTCAGTTTTAATAAGGAAATTGTTCTAATGTCAACTTCATGATTTGGACTTTAAGATTTTCAATAACTTGTAACATATTTAGTTTGAATTTTTTTACTTGATTCTAGGAGATTCGTAATTATTTCTATTATTGTACATTTCACCATCAATGAAATCTGGTTAGACAATTCACAGAATTAATACTTTCTCTATACTTTTATAATTAATTTCTTCTGATCAGGATGAATGTATAGATCATTTGCGTTATACAATATTGTAAATTAATGGCATGTGGTACGCACCGACACGTGAGACCTTTCTCACTATACATTTATACATATTATATATATATATATGTATATGTATATGTATAAACAACAATGTACTAATTTCAACACTATATCATTAAGTTCTGCGGAGCTAGGAAGGGCCAGGGCGGCGCTTAAAAGTTACCATTAATTCCTCAGGGCGGCGCTTAAAATGTTGCAATCGTCTTAGAAAACTTGGCGGTGATATTTTGTCAAAAGAAAGCAACATATGAACCGCAAATAGCCCCACTACAATTTTCATTGTGCCTCTTTTGTTGACTTAATATCTTCCTCATGACAGAGTTAATTCATGACAGAATATTAACTCGTTGAGTTTGATGATCCCAGAGCTCATGACTGTCCAATTTAAGTGGTCCAAGAGACGAGGTAGTCTGTTAATTTGCAACGTTTTTTTTTTTTTTTTTTTTTTGATTTAATTGTACGCATTGAAAATGTTATTCCATCAATCCCTTTAGCCGACGAAAAGTCAGACGCTATAACTATCAGCAAATGCATATGCATAGCACAAATTTGTGCGCCACTTATTTTGCATTTTGTGGTCCTCCACTAGGATTAATAATGGCTTTATTCTAATACTGCATCTTCCTGAAGGTTCACAGCTCTTTCTATGTATACATATATATGGAGCTCAAAAAGCTGATTCATATAATTGGATGCCATATAGCTCTATCTATAATTCCTTATAATTTCCCAACTGTTTGAAATTATGCGCTATATTATCTTTTTGCTAGCTAGATATATAATTAATTATCAAGTTAGACATTACTTTTTCACGACTTAATTAGAAAACAATTGTGTAGTCTCCATCAGTTCGTTAGGGAAAAAAAAAAAAACGAAAAATGTTATCACTTATATTAATGTTATTGATAAA